AGATTTAAACATCTGGTTGGTGTTGGTGTGGAGAGTAACCTTCAGTAATAGTAATAAATCACATCCATGTAGTTGTAAACAGCATGATAATATATTAAGTAATCCAAAGTATTGAGTAAAGTAACGGAATACGTTACAGAATACATTTTGGGGCATGTAATCTGTAATCTGTAGTGGAATACATGTTACAAGCATGCTGCAGCTCGCGGGCAGCGTCACACATGGAGAAAACATCGCTCAAAGAGAGATAAGTGAGAAGAAGGCCATCATGGATGTCAGCTCACGAGCTTTGTGTATTTGAAATGTTGTTTTTCTGTAATTAAGGACTTTTGATTGATTGATACTAAGTACAAGAGCAGATTTTGATGTGATGTTTTTGTTTTATTGTTTTCTCACAGGTTGTCAAGACCAGAATAAACCGTGTTTTATAATTCTACATCGTGCCTACATCAATCCTTCAGGGTGCTACGGTACGAGTGTCCCACTTACAGATGTGAGGTTCCCATCCCACAAACAAGTGTTACAGTTTGTTTGAAGTCTGTTTACTTTTTTAATCACTTAAGAATAAAACAAAGAAAGAAGTACAGAAGTCCTGCCCTTCACTTTATACTCCACCCATCTTCTTATATGCAGAGTTACTGGAGCGTGTTAGGTACACTGTGGCCTGGTCACCAGTCTGTCACAGAGCTACAGACAACCCTTTGCACCCACAGACAATTTAAAAACACTCCTGACTAAGCGTAACTCTTACACACCTCTGTCTCCAGCTCCTCCTACATCGTCCGTCTCCTCGCGTTGCGTTCAGTCCTTCTGATGCTTCAACATGAAACTTCTCTCATTCCCTTCAGTTTACCTGCTGCCTTTGTTTGACACTATTTCTGTATCATCAACAATTTTTATTTATTTCACTTTATACTTTAATAACAGAACTTAAGGATAAATACATAAATAAATAATTTAAAAAATGAACAAACAAAATCAACAACAACAAAAACAAAAACAAAGGGAAGTCATCCTATTCTTTCTTCACACACCAATCTTCAAGTTACAGACAGCCAGCTTGTAAACGGGGACCAAATACAATCATATTGATGCAATTTGTCCAATAAACCACGAGTCACTTTTTCGTAACTGAGCCATTGTCTTTAGCCACTCTTCATAGGGAGGGGGGCTCTTTTTCCACCAATGTCTTAGCAGCACCCGTTTGGCCGTAGAGCCAGAATAATCCATCTTTTTGTATAACTGGAAAAATCTCCATCAGAAAGTTCTGTGGTTATACCAAGTATGGACAGTTTTGGTGAGATACCAAATCTCCTTTTCAAAACACTGAAAATTACCTCCATCATGTTTTCCCATCAATCCCGAAGTGCCGAACAGCTCCATAAGATACGTAAGATCGAAGCGTTTTGACCATCACATCTCCAACATTCGTCCGTAGAGGCCAGGTTCCATTTATACAACTGTTGTGGTGTTCGATGCCACCTATGGATTATCTTAAGTTGAATAAATCTGCTGCCTGTTTCTTTATACGTAGTATTAACATTTTGAAAACATGAATCCCGTTCAACTGAAGATATGTCCAATGCCACGTCCTGGGCCCAGTAGCCCTTAACTTTCAGGAGAGGGTGAGCTGACCGTTCTTGCAATAAATGATAAATCTTAGTGGTGATGCCTTTACCCAAGGGTGATTTTGAGAGCAGGACTTCCACAGGGCCGCCCACAGGACAACTCAAGGGGGTTCGCAGCCACTTCGATAATGAACTATGTATTTGGACATATCTCCAGAATTGGTTACGCTGCAACTTATATAACTCCACAATTTTATCAAAGCTTAGAAAACATTTGGTCCCACAGTCAAATAAATCTGCTACATAATGCCTACTTTACTGTAACCAGTCAACCGATGTCCCTGCAATTAAAATTATTTTATTTGACACTATTTCTATATTTTGTCTTCCATTTGTGTCCTACGTGTGAAGACTCTTTTTCTGCTGTCAGGTGGAGTTGTGGGCGGGTGCTCCACCTGTTGGCAGAGTCTCCTTCTTGCCAATCGGCTCTGGGAGCTAAAGGAGGAGCTGTCGCCCGCTCGGTGGTGAATCAGCCCACGATGTCTTTGCGTCTTTGTCAGTGGCTGTCTTCCAGTCTGGCCCTCACACCAACCGGTCGCAGCAGAAAGCTGTTGGCTTTTCTACTGTAGGGTCTTCACCTTACAATATAAAGCACCCTGAGGCGGGCGTTGTTGTGATTCACTGCCATACAAATAAACTGAATTGTTCATTTATTACAGGAGGTTTAGAATAAATTCATTCACATAAGAAAATATATATCGCCTTGAGGCGACTTTTGTTGTGATTTGGCGCTATATAAATAAAGATGAATTGAATTGAATTGAAATTGAATATTGAGGCTTCCTCCTCAGAAGGATGTAGCAGCAGGTTTGGTCCTGATTATATTCAGCAGTGACCTTTGCTGCTGACTGTTTCATAACCCGGAGTCATCCTGGATCCTTCATGTTCCACAGCAGCGTGACAGGAAGTTTATATTACTGCAAGGTCCTGACTGGTGCTGAATCCCCACAGTGTGTGTGAGTGTGTCTGTGAGTGTGTGTCTGTGAGTGTGTTTCTGTGAGTGTCTGTGAGTGTGTGTGTGAGTGTGTGTCTGTGTGTGTCTGTGAGTGTGTCTGTGAGTGTGTGTCTGTGAGTGTGTGTGTGAGTGTGTGTGAGTGTGTGTCTGTGAGTGTGTGTGAGTGTGTGTCTGTGAGTGTGTCTGTGAGTGTGTTTGTGAGTGTGTCTGTGAGTGTGTCTGTGAGTGTGTGTGAGTGTGTGTCTGTGAGTGTGTGTGAGTGTGTGTGTGAGTGTGTGTCTGTGAGTGTGTGTGTGAGTGTGTGTCTGTGAGTGTGTCTGTGAGTGTCTGTGAGTGTGTGTGAGTGTGTGTGTGAGTGTGTGTCTGTGAGTGTGTGTGTGAGTGTGTGTCTGTGAGTGTGTGTGAGTGTCTGTGAGTGTGTGTGTGAGTGTGTGTGTGAGTGTGTGTGTGTGTGTCTGTGAGTGTGTGTGTGAGTGTGTGTGTGAGTGTGTGTGTGAGTGTGTCTGTGAGTGTGTGTGTGTGTGTGTCTGTGAGTGGGTCTCTGTGTGTGTGTCTGTGAGTGTGTGTGTGAGTGTGTGTGTGAGTGTGTGTCTGTGAGTGTGTCTGTGAGTGTGTGTGTGAGTGTGTCTGTGAGTGTGTGTGTGAGTGTGTGTCTGTGAGTGTCTGTGAGTGTGTGTGTGAGTGTGTGTCTGTGAGTGTGTGTCTGTGAGTGTGTGAGTGTCTGTGAGTGTGTCTGTGAGTGTCTGTGAGTGTGTGTGTGAGTGTGTGTGTGAGTGTCTGTGAGTGTGTCTGTGAGTGTGTGTGTGTCTGTGAGTGTCTGTGTGAGTGTGTGTCTGTGAGTGTGTCTGTGAGTGTCTGTGTGAGTGTGTGTGTGAGTGTGTGTCTGTGAGTGTGTGTCTGTGAGTGTGTCTGTGAGTGTCTGTGTGAGTGTGTGTCTGTGAGTGTGTGTCTGTGAGTGTGTCTGTGAGTGTCTGTGTGAGTGTCTGTGTTAGTGTGTGTCTGTGAGTGTGTGTCTGTGAGTGTGTCTGTGAGTGTCTGTGTGAGTGTGTGTGTGAGTGTGTGTGTGAGTGTGTGTGTGAGTTTGTGTCTGTGAGTGTGTGTCTGTGAGTGTGTGTGTGAGTGTGTGTGAGTGTGTGTCTGTGAGTGTGTGTGTGAGTCTGTGAGTGTGTCTGTGAGTGTCTGTGAGTGTGTCTGTGAGTGTGTGTGTGAGTGTGTGTGTGTGTGTGTGTGTGTGTGTGTGTGTGTGTGTGTGAGTGTGTGTGTGTGTGTGTGTGTGTGTGTGTGTGTGTGTGTGAGAGTGTGTGTGTGAGAGTGTGTGTGTGTGTGTGTGTGTGTGAGTGTGTGTGTGTGTCTGTGAGTGTGTGAGTGTGTGTGTGTGTGAGTGTGTCTGTGAGTGTGTGTGTGTGTGTGTGTGTGAGTGTGTGAGTGTGTGTGTGTGAGTGTGTGTGTGTGTGTGTGTGTGTGTGAGTGTGTGAGTGTGTGTGTGTGAGTGTGTGTGTGTGTGTGTGTGTGTGTGTGTGTGTGTGTGTGTGTGTGTGTGTGTGTGTGTGTGTGTCTGTGAGTGTGTGTGTGTGTGTGTGTGTGTGTGTCTGTGAGTGTGTGTGTGTGTGTGTGTGTGTGTGTGTGTGTGTGTGTGTGTGTGTGAGTGTGTGTGTGTGTGTGTGTGTGTGTGTGAGTGTGTGTGTGTGTGTGTGTCTGTGAGTGAGTGTGTGTGTGTGTGTGTGTGTGTGTGTGTGTCTGTGAGTGTGTGTGTGTGTGTGTGTCTGTGAGTGTGTGAGTGTGTGAGTGTCTGTGTGTGTGTGTGTGTCTGTGAGTGTGTGTGTGTGTGTGTGTGTGAGTGTGTGAGTGTGTGTGAGTGTGTGTGTGTGTGTGTGTGAGTGTGTGTGTGTGTGTGAGTGTGTGTGAGTGTGTGTGTGTGTGTGTGTGTGTGTTTGAGTGTGTGTGAGTGTGTGTGTGTGTTTGAGTGTGTGTGTGTGTGTGTGTGTGTGTGTGTGTGTGTGTGTGTGTGTGTGTGTGTGTGTGTGTGTGTGTGTGTTTGAGTGTGTGTGAGTGTGTGTGTGTGTGTGTGTGTGAGTGTGTGTGAGTGTGTTTGAGTGTGTGTGTGTGTGTGTGTGTGAGTGTGTTTGAGTGTGTGTGTGTGTGTGTGTGTGTGTGTGTGTGAGTGTGTGTGTGTGTGTGTGTGTGAGTGTGTGTTTGAGTGTGTGTGAGTGTGTGTGTGTGTGTGTGTGTGTTTGAGTGTGTGTGAGTGTGTGTGTGTGTGTGTGTGTGTGTGAGTGTGTGTCTGTGAGTGTGTGTGTGTCTGTGAGTGTGTGTGTGTGTTTGAGTGTGTGAGTGTGTGTGTGAGTGTGTGTGAGTTTCATGTGAGGATCATATTTCAACAGTGCATCATTTTGGCCACACCCCGTCCCGACTGTTCACAGGAGAAACTCTCTCACTCGTTGGTGTTCGGCTGAAGTGCTGCTGCTTCTTTGATGGACGCTCAGACCAAATCAGGGAAAGTTTACCTGCAACCCCACAAACCTGGAAAAGTAAGTACAGCTTTCATTCCTGCTGTTTCTGCGTCGCTGTGAGCGTTCAAGAGCTGACAACGTGGGGAGGAAGCTGTGTTTTTGATTCTTTTATGACTGTAGTAACGACGAGAAACGGACATTTCTGTAGATAACTAACTAAAACGGGAGGAAGATCAACATTTTGTCACACTTCATTTTGATTTGACGGCTGAGAAAAGGGAAAAACCGAAGATGGGATCTCAGTGTTTCTCTGGCTCGGGGAGTTTGAACCAACATGTTGAAACACAGCTTCACATTCCAGCACAACACAAAGTACACACACACGCCGTGTGAGCTCACGACTCCTTTACGTCACGAGCACACCCACAACACCAACCCGAAACTGTGACTGAAAAATGGAAAAACCACAGACGATCATTTTACTGAAGTGCGAGCTGCCAAACGTTTACCTGTAGTAACGCGTTCCTGCTTTTATTGTGAAAGGACTGAGATCATAGGTGAACGCAGGGTCCGTACTCATGTAGGACACGCCGGACGTGACCTCTCTGATGCATGGCGTTCATAAAGGAAAGGCTCAGGCTGACGCCATCGAGGCAGAAGGTGGAGGAGTTCTACGGAGGACCAAGAGTGCCCAAAGTGAAACACATGTTTGAATGAATCCAGTGAACAATTATTCTGTAAAAAATCAAATTTAATATTTAAAGCATGTGTAAGTATTTCACTATTTAACTCATTATTTCACGGTTTCACCCATCAAAGTCAGGGGGCGGGGCTAACCCTGATCTAAAAACCAGTCAAGAACACAGAGTTTGTACTTCTCAGCTTTGAACTTGGCAGGTAGAGTCAGGAGTGTGGGCTCATGAGGACAGGAGGACAGCTCAGACTGAGACATCAGCCCTGCTTTGTTGTTTTATCCCTGCAGTGTCCACGTTGCCATGGAAACGGCTGTCTGTGAGGTTTTGTTGCATCGTGATCTGGGATCGATGCGCCATGACCTGCAGTTACAGTGACTGGTGTAAATGACTTCAAGATGAGCTGCTGCACATAACGATGCAATAATTAATTAAACTGTAAAACAATGAAATGTTTGAATATTTTAAATAATTTATTGATACATATTTATTCACTTCATTTGACACTCTGGGCCCTCCGTAGCCACAGCCTTGTTTTCCTTTGATAAATTCTCATGTGGCGTGTCCTGTTTGTACGCAGCACGGCGCTCACGTCTCTCTTTGTCCTCAGAAATGGAAGCCGGTGTGGTTGTCTCTGACGCCCCCCAGCAGCAGTGGAGTGGGCCGACTGGAGATCCAGGATATGGGAGGTAAACAGCTCCACTCGTTATGTGAATGATGAAAATAACAGTGATAGTTTCTTATTAGTTACTGAGCGCTTACATCAGTAAAATAAGACTGAAGCTCACTGATTTCACACCAAGCCCAGTTTATTTCCAGTCCAGCTGAACCCAGACTGGGGGAGCAGGTGCTGGAGCAGCTCTGTGTCATCTCCCTGGATTATCCGTCACATCACGATCACGTCTCAGGTTTTATCCTGTTCCACTTTGATATTTGAGGTGATATTTAATACGTGACACTAAATGTCAGATTTTCACAGTTTAATCAGGTCAATGAAACGCTGTGGGGAGCTCCAGGGCCGTGCAGAGATGTTTGAAGGGGCAGGTGCTCAAGCCCCCCCGCACGCGCCTGCCGAGCTCCACCTCAGGTAACATTTACATGCAGATCCGTGCACGTAAGTTTTGGAGGAACAACATGGCGCTGATTCAATCAGCAGAGCCAGTTAGTGGCATTCACATTCAACAACAGACTGATGCTTCCAGATAGGAAACAGGGGTTCATCCTTTCATTTGTCACCTGTCGGTAGCTGGAATACACCTTTGAACAGGCGGTGGAGACAGATTTTACGAACCACTGTATTATAAAGGTAGAACATCTGAAGTGTTGGTCATAATCCTGATTACATAAGAAAGCAATGATTGCAGCAGTGGCTCTAATCCTGCACGTGCAAACATGGACTCACTTCTGGAACTGCAGCTTTGATGTTGATGCTCTATTTACAGACACAAAGTGCAGATTATAAAGAAAAACTCTCAATCATCCTCTGATGTTGTGATTCTCCAGACCTTTTCTTTACTTTACCCCTGTGGGACGTCTGCACTGTCCAAAATATTCAGCTTAAACAGAAAAACATAACTAATTAAATATTTCTTTCATGTCTTTAAGTTAAACTCGGCTTTCGTGTTCAGTGGAGACGCTCAGCACTGAAAGCCGGCTTCATATCAGTTCCTGGGGAGCTAAAAATAAAACCACACAAGCACGAAAAGGCGGGGAATCGTGTCATGTTAGGGATGCTGGTGGTGCTGAACGCATGTCATGCATGCAGCGGCGGGCCGAGCATCAGCCGCTGAACACGAGCACCGGATCTGACGCTTTAACAGAGCCCGGGATGAGGGCGATGTTATGTAAGCTCAGCGGCAGCATCTGCACAGTGAACACATGACATGCACGTTTTACGTGGACGACACACGAACATCAGAGAAGAGTTTGTGAACGAGGACCGGGCCGAAGCAGAGAAACGGCTGCCAGCAGTGGTCTTTAAAAGGTGCGATCAACGCAGAGGCCAGAAAGTGTCCGACACGGTGAGAGCTGCTCGTCACAGAACCTCAGTGCTTCCTTCAGTCCTTTCTCTGTGACCTGCACACAAATACATGCAGGGATGCTTCACAGCTTTAATGCTAACAAAGATGCTCCTCGCCTCTCACCTGCAGAGATTCATGAGTGATGATAAAGATCATAAAGCGTCTTGACACGACTGTTGCTGTGATTTGGCGCTGTATAAATGAAACTGAATTGAACTGAATCTGGGGATGAGAACAGTAATCTCTCTGTCATCTGCAGACACACCAGCTAACAATCCTCACTGCTGCCACATGTGCCACAATACTGACCCCTAGTGTTCGGTCGGGTTTTTGCATGGTGACGTCTGGTCGACTGAAACTCATCTCAGATTCATCCTGATGCCACTTTTAGCAAATTACGTTCAGCTGTGAGGGAGATGCAGTAGAATCAGCAGTGCAAGAGTACTGATGTTACAAAGGAAGTAGTAAAAGTAAATATACTTTCAGGAGTACTTAGAGGGGGACCAGAGGCCTGGGGGAGCAGCTCCTGCACTCGTCTGGACCAAGAGTTCAGATGTTCTGCAGAATCTGCTGCAAACACATCAGACGTCACCTAATTTTGTAATAATCAGCAAGTCTCAATACACGCCAAGCACACTTCAACCAAACTGAGGTTAAACATTGACTCAAGCATTGATCCAGTGTCCAAAGTCCAGCGTGTAACCGAGTTTTGCTGTTTGCTTTGCAGGTGTGTGCACACAGGAATGTTTGAGGTTGCACAGGTTCGCTGACTTTTGCTCACAAATACACAAGTGGAGTAAAAATAAGAGAAGTTTGAAGTCCGAAGTTTCTATGCAGTCAGTGTGTTTGAGCTCCAGAAAGAAAGCACGAATAAAGCTACACTAACAGGAAATTATTTATCTGGAGTTCTTCTTCTTCTTATTAGTCCTTTATTTATCCTGGTAAAAAATCTCATTTCCAAGAGAGACCTGGTATCATAGCAACAAAAGTCAAAATACACGTACCACATAAGTATATAACATCCATCCATCTTCTTCCGCTTTATCCGGGCCGGGTCGCGGGGGCAGCAGCCTAAGCAGAGAAGCCCAGACCTCCCTCTCCCAGACACCTCCTCCAGCTTATCTGGGGAAATATAATCTCTCCAGGGTGTCCTGGGTCTGCCCCGGGGCCTCCTCCGGTGGGACATGCCTGGAACACCTCACCCAGGAGACCCCAGGAGGCATCCTTGTCAGATGCCCGAACCACCTCAGTTGGCTCCTTTCGATGTGGAGCAGCAGCGGCTCTACTCTGAGCCCCTCCCGGATGGCTGAACTTCTCAAGTAAATAACATTTTAAACAAATACAATATCCTGTACAAACGTGAAAAATATAAAATAACAGATCAAATTTAGAGCGATGTTAAAAACAATCACGCTGAGTTATTCTCTCGTTCCAGTAATAAAACATAAAGCACAATGGTGGACAGTATCCAACCTCTTTAGGTAGCGGGCAGGTGCGTTCATAAAAAGCAGGTCACTGTAATCCAATAAAGGTCAAAAAGTTGCATGAATCAAGTGTTTTCTCACTTGGAGGGAGAAACGTAGTTTTCACTTCGACACCTCTCTCCTGCTTCTTCCCTGCTCACTCAAACTGGATGTCTGACGTTAGCTGGAGTTTAGAGAAGGTCTGCAGTGTTGTTGTCATCTGCATAGAGGCCTCAAAGACAGAGGGACGACATCACTGCTAAAATATATAGTTCAGTCCGGGAAAATCATCGGAAACATCCATGTGCGAGCTGCAAAGCACCTCCACCTTCCAGAGGTTCTGCTGACAGCATACATGCCGTGTTGCCAGGTCTCCTTCTGTGCTCCAAATACTCCAATTTCTGGAACTGGGATGCCAGTTTGGGTTTTTTCAAGCCTGCTTTTGAAACATTCTTCACTTTCTGTTCTTCAGCTTCGGTGGCCTGAGGATTTCAGCTTTGCTATTAAGAGAAGACGAGGTTCTTTAAATCATGAGTGCAGTGTGCAGGAACGAGAATCAGCAGCTCCAAGGCCATGGTCCTCAGCTGGAAATGGATGGTGTGCCCGCTCTGATCCGGGATGAGTCGCTGCCTCGAGTAGAAGATTTGAAGCACCTCGAGGTCTTTTCACACATGATGGAAGAGCAGAGCACGAGATCAACAGATGGACTGGTGCGAATGCCGAACCGAGAGCCCTGAGTGTAAAAGTGAAGCTTTACTGATGATCTACAGTCACCTTCTGCTCTGGGTAGTTACTGATAATGTGGAAATGATCTTCCTCTGAAAGATGAAAGGAGGAGCTTGGAGTACAGCTGCTACTCCTCCACATCAAAAGAAGATGGTGGCGGATGCTTGGATGCCTGCTGGGATACTGGGAGGAAGCACGGAGGCAGACCCTGGACTGACCTTGAGGTTATATCTCAGCTGGCTTGGGAATGCTTGGAGTCCCTCTTGATTAGTTAGGAAGAGGTGGATGGACGGGGGGGGTCTGGGTGTCTGCTGCCCCCATGACCCAAAGCTCGATGGATGAACCGATTCACAGCAAAATGTATCTATAAAAGATGAATGTACTCCGATCTGACAAGTGACATAAACCTTCATTCTTTGCCAGCAGGGGGCGACTTCTTTGATTGCAAAAATGATTTTGAGTACAGGAGTTACATGATGACTTTATCGTGTCTGTCACTGGTCTCAGAGCTTCGTGGATAAAACAGGATGTTTATCCCTTAAATTATGAGTCAGATAAACACGAGTCTGCAGGCTAACGCAGGTCGAGCTTGTGGCTCGCAGGTCTGTGTGAGAGTGAGTATGACAGGATGATTCAGTGCTTAATCCTGTCTTTACAAACAGATTCATCTTTAAATATCACTCTGCCTTTTCCTTGTGACGAGTAATATTGGTGTTCAGCTCACTCACACACACATTTGAATCTTACTTAAACCAGAGCTCAGCCACAAACACTCCCACACCTGCGAGTGGAAGTATCGCCTGCGGCTGTTTGACATTCAGGCAAACATGTCGCCTCACGTTTCTCCACCCGGAGAAGAATCGTGCGCTCTGAGCAAAGACTCGTCGGGTGGAAACGGCCGCAGTGCAGAGTGCGCACGAAGCTTATTGTTTGAGTCGCTCTGGTTTGAGAAGAAGCCGTACAGGCCGCGTGATTTATGTCTGTCAGGCGTTCGCCGCCGACTCAGCTGTAACGCTCTGCCTGTTTGTGCACGGTGCATCCTGCAGGGGGCGATCTCGCCACTGGGGTCAGAAAACACGGGGATCGGAGGGTGAAGGTGGTCCGACTGTCTGAGTTGATCAGCGTCCTCAGACTCCCCCCGAACGCTGAGGCCTGCCCCATGGTGAGCCGTCATACTCTCACGTTTCCAGTCGTCAAAAGTCGAAAAGACGCTTAAAGCTGGTTTGTGTCTGCAGGAGAACATGTGGGCGTTCTGCGTGGAGACTCAGGACAGGACCATGGTGTTCGCCGCACTCAGAGACGACTGTGCCGACTGGGTGGACAAACTGTGCCAAAGCACGTTTCAGGTGTGAAGGACACAAATGTTCCTTCTCTTTACGTTTCACACAAATGTGCAGCTTCATGATTTCACAGCTAATTATTTAAGCTTGCTTCATTCGCTCTCTCAGAAAGGAGGCCGTCCACGCTCCAATCAGCCCCAAATGGAGGAGAACCAGATATACGTCTCAGTAGAAGAAGGTAAATTCTTTGCTTTTGTCTTCTCCAAATACTCAATTCCGGTTAAGAGCGCCCCCCATGGAACAGGACGAGCAGTTATTGCATCCCCTAGTTTTGATACATTCACATAAACGTGAGTCTGGGAAAATTTGACACACGCTGAGCAAACAGTGAGCTACAGGGATGTACACGATACTGCAGAAATGTAATATTCAGCTCTCTCTGGCTGCTCAGTAAAAGTGGACCGTAATAACCTTCCTAACATTCAACATGCACTCTGACGTAGTGTTCAGAAACATCCTTAAAGGAGCACAGAGAAGCCGAGCCTCACACTTTTTGCTCATGCTGTCAGTATTTATTAACTGCATGTATTTAAACTGTGTTAAAATTATCACATCAGTGTTCTGCTTCGCTTTATTTGCATAGTAATGAATGACAGACTCTCCTCCCTGTTTACAGCCTCTGAGTTCTGGGTGGCGATTCAGAGGACGGAGGCAGCGACCCGCTGCGGCCTGCAGGGGGCGTACTGGCTGCAGGTGGGACGGGAGGCGCTGCTTCTGAAAGAAACCCAGAAGAAGAAGGTTGTTCACGAGTGGGCGTACGAACTCCTGAGGCGATACGGGAATGATAAGGTGGGGGCGATCGTGGCTCAAGAGTTGGGAGTTCGCCTTGTAATCGGAAGGTCGCCGGTTCGAGCCCCGGCTTGGACAGTCTCGGTCGTTGTGTCCTTGGGCAAGACACTTCACCTACCGTCTACTGGTGTTGGCCAGAAGGGCCGATGGCGCGATATGGCAGCCTGGCTTCTGTCAGTCTGCCCCAGGGCAGCTGTGGCTACAACTGTAGCTGCCTCCACCAGTGTGTGAATGGGTGGATGACTGGGTGTGTAAAGTGCTTTGGGGTCCTTAGGGGGGACTAGTAAAAGTGCTCATGGTCACAATGTAAAGGTGTTTTTTGTATCACCTGTTGCATGTTGTTATTACATCTTTCACCACATGGGGGCGCCATTTTATCAGACTGTAAGGAGAAGCAGGAAAAGTCAGTGTTTAGCCTGAGATCAGGACTCAAGCCCGACAGCAGGGAGGTTTTGGAGCTTTTTTATGGAGCTCTGAATCCGTCAGCTTTACTGGTGGCTCGATATCGTCTGCAGGCGTGCGCCTGAACAGAAAAAGAGCAAAAGTGTTAGCACTCTCCAGGAACCGTGCTTACGTTTGCCCGTGTTTCACTTTTATCATTTATATAAAATGATCAAATGTGGTTGTGTTTGGTGATAATTCTTCAGCCATATCTCGCCTCGTGTGGGTACCAGCTCTTCCTCCCCTGCTGGGTGCTGGATTAGCTTGCTGCGCCATCATGTGGTACAAAACGATGTTACCGAAAAGTCTGGCTCTCTTGCTCTGATGTTTTCACCTGAAATTCTTTCACATTCTTGTTAAAGTTCAGTTCATGATGGAAGCTTTAAGTGAAACTGAAGCCTCACAAGTGTAAGACGTTTATTTTCTCTCCTCCTCCCAGCTGACCCTAACCATCGAAGCCGGGCGGCGCTGCGACTCCGGTCCTGGAGCGTTCATCTTTGAGACGCCGCAGGCTGAGAAGATATTCGCCCTGATTCAGAGCACCATCAAACTGAAGACTTCATCGACCAACCAAAACCCAGAGGGAGAGAAGGTTGCGGTAACCAACATACAGGCTCATTCGCCCCTCCCCAAAGTCCCCGATATGACCAACATGGCCGCCATCCTGGAGAACAAGCTGAGGACAGAGGAGAGCAGAGAAGAGAGCGCACATGCTCGGGAAGATCACCCGCCTCCTATCACCCTCATGCCACTCCCACTGGTCCCTGCTGGCTCCTCTGCAGGTAACCATGGAGACCAGTCAGAGGCCATATACGCTAATCCGACTGATTGCATCCGGCCTGTAACAAAACCCCCGCCTGTCAGAGCCACGTATATCGACCCTGCGAGCGTTCTTCCTCTCAAACCCCCATGTGCCGCTCCGCATCCCCCCCCTTGCGCAGACGACCCGGATTCGGTCTACTCGGAGGTGTACGACAAGGTCGGCCATCACCAGAACACAGACAACTTCCTCCAGAAAAAAGAAGAAACGAAGGTTTCAGCAGAGGGTGACGCGGTCTACGCCCAACCCGGCAGACGGAGCGAAGTGTCTCTGAAAAGCGAAGCCAAGGCCGACCCCTTCGCTCATCTTTACGCTCATGTCTGTAAGAAAGCACCGTCGTCTAGCCCCTCGTCATCCAATGACAGCACCCCCTCCTCCTCGTCTCCTATCGCCAACAGGAGCACAACAAAAGCCTCGGATTGTCCGCTTGATGATGTAATCTATGAAAACCTGGGCATCATTTAACTCTGGTGTTTAGAAAACATCTGAAACCATCATTGACATTCTTCATAGTAAAATTGTTTGAAAACTCGTGTTACCGCAGCTCAGGCGATGTAGGCTGGACGTCGGAGGAACTGCCGGTTTTGAAAGGTCAGGGATCAGATGTTTGAGAAACTTCTTGCTTGCTTCCTAAAATATGAATATTTAATCATTAAGACAGGTAAATAAATAAACCTGCATGAATGTGATTTATGTTAATGTATCTGTTTATCTGCATTTTTATAAGTTTAGCACGCCCGTGTTGCAAATTCATACTCTGACTGATTTTTCCACATAGAAAACTTCTCATACACGATTTTTACATATAAAACTGTAAACACGCTTGTTTGGTTACGATGCACAAATGTATGCTGCAAAAATGTCCCTGAGTCATGTTACATACGTGGGCCTTACTGTGTTTCTGTGTAAATATAGGAGCTATGACAGGTATCGCCATCATCTGTTACCGTAAGTGTTATTGTGCTTTATTCTAATATTGTGCTTTAAATAAAACAAATATATGACACTTTTGCTCCACTGAGTGAATCCTGGTGTTTTTAACACTAATACACATATAAGAACAGAAGATGTTTATTCACATAAGCAATCAGGAAAGGTGGAGTGTTGGCGTCGTGTTCAAACACCTGATGAATCAGAGTAAATATTTACCACACTGCACCGCTGCCTGAGGCCCCTCCCCCACCCGCCACTTTCAGTCAAGACCAGGTTCAGAGACAAACGAGAAGCAGCAGACCGGGTGAGTCCCCATGTCCTCGAGACCCCCCAGCTTTGTGGAGTCTTTCATAAACTGTTCGTGCTGAGTCTGAAGAGGGTCCCAGTGCTCACAGCTCGTCCCTGTACCAAAGACACCGCGTCCCAGTGGCCCCCACGATTACAGCCTGTGGCACTGACCTCCCACGTCACAAAGACCCTGGAAAGACTCACACTGGACCATCTCTGACCTATCAGATCAGGATCCCCTTCAGTTCCCCGCCATCATCTACCTGCTCAATCGTGTCTGTGTCCACCTGGACCAGCCGGCGAGCGCTGTGAGGTCATGTTTTTTTACTTTTCCAGTGCATTCACTGGAGAGGAGGATGTTGTCCAAGATGAGGACAATGATGGATAATACCCACTCTGTAACATGCTGGGCAATCACAGGTGCACGCTCAGTGAGAGACTGAGATTACCCATAATGCACCACTGAACGACACAGGAAATCATTCCTGCACAGCTCCATCTAATGCACAGCACACAGTGCAGGAGTTGCAGCCTGCAGCACGTCCTCCACAGTGGAAATAACAAAGTTTCTCTGTAATAATCTGGATGTTTATAACTAACATATTTGTACATATTAGAAATATTTCTTGTATATTGTAAACTTTGTAATATACTGTATTATTTAATTAGTTCAGTGTGTTACTGTGTTTGTTGTTGTGACTGTGATCACAAAATTCTTTGCGGATTAATAAAATATTATGATTCTGATTTCATTTAAGTCACACGTTATACATTCATTTATTTCCTTTAAATTTAATCGACGTAACAACCTAAAGCAACAAAACCAGAAGCGTGAGGGTGGGAGGGTGGAGACAGCCTGATGCACTGATGAACTTTGACCAGCAGGGGGGGATGTGCATCACGCACAGATAAAACAGGAAGCCATCACATGACATGCTTAGACATGTACTTCACTTCTTTACCACAAGGCGGCACTGCTGGACTTTCCAACACTCCAACATGAACTGTAGACTTAATTTATGGTTAAACAGTGAAACAAAACCTGTGGATAAAATGTTTTGCTTTTAAATGACTTTTCTTTGACTCAGTTAATAGAAAAAGATTCACAACACTGCTTCATATGTGGCGGTGGAGGCGCCTAAAACTGTAGACTTGGATCTGTGTGCTCTGGTCTGGTCGCACACCCGAGGGCGTCGAGGGGAAACATAGCCCTCTGTAACTTCAGCCTTTCTTTTTTAAATCAATTTGAGGTTATCTGCTCATCGTGTGCAGACGTGCTGCAGAGATGATCCGGTGACAGCTTTCTGTGACTGAAGCCGAACTAATGCGCGATAATCCTAAAAGAGGTTTTAGATGCAAAACCATCAGGTAATAATACAAAACGGAGGAAACATAAACGATGGTTTAGTCCTTGTTGCTTAGAAGACGTCAGCTGCTGACTGCTCAACGCCAGCCAGTTTTTTTGATGCTGTAATGCATAGATGTGACCACAAGATGGCGCTGTTACAGCCTTTATCAAGAAGGGCTTGGTCCTCGTGTTCAGTTAGGCCTTTAGAGTTTTCGTGTCCTCCCTGTGCCAGCCTGTTGTTTCCTTTCCTTGGATAAAGGCCTGCATGAAGCAGGTGACATCACGTGACTAGCTTTACCTTTGGTGTGAGGCCTTTGTGCATAAACGTCCTTCATAACTCTGATCAGATTTATTGTATCTATCACCAGAAATATGAATCACAGCAGCTTCCATCGTGGATGATGATCCGGCCGCGTGTGATAAAGCGTCTTTTATTCATCCTCTGCGCCACACGTTGGTCTGTTGATGTTTCATCACTCAGTGTGAGGATGACGTAACATCCTCATTATCCTTTTTTAATTATTTCTAATGACTTTGTGAGAGAAATGAAGACACAAACTCAGGATGTTCCCTTATTAACAAGTACACAAGTGTATTATTTCATTTTATTTATATATGCAAGCAAGTTTATGTCTTTACAAATAAAAAAGCCACTGTCTGCCCAAGCTGTTGGCACACATATGTACAAAGATGGAGGAGTGAATCAGATGAAGCCTGCTACTAAGCAACCAGAGTGAAGTACAAAAAGTCTAGCACACTATAGAGAAACAGAAAAAAACGACCTCCAACGTCCAAAATGTCCAACCTCACATAATGCATGAATCTGAAACACGCGATGATCAGTGGAAGGTCACGGACTGACATCATCAGCTGTTAGATCTGCGGCTCACTTCATGATGGACAAGAGGCACAGAGGGTCTGATCTCCCCCTGTGATTCAGAGCTGTGGGAACACGGTAAACCTCCTCACAGCGGGTTGGAACTCAGACGTCATGTCATTGAAACTCATGCTCGATCGCGCCGACGCGCTCGGGTTTCTGATCCCGCGCTCGGGATCCTGGAATGGTTCAGCCGCGGTCAGCGAGCAGACCGAGAGGACGCAGGATCAGAACGTGTCATCACACGCGTTCGTCTTTACATGTGGGTTAGACAGTCAGATGAGGAGACTTGAACGAATGGAGAGCGAGCTGCTCACGTCCTCCTCCACCCGACTACAACAGCGGGCTGAGCCTCTCGGGTCACCTGTCTCAGGTGTTTTGGTTTCATTTGGGCCAAATCTGTTCTGTGCCACACTGACAGCCGACAGTCTGGCTCCTTTCTTCTTCACCTTCAGACTGTGGACGACCAAAACTGCCATCATTCAGATTATTAAGTATTTCTGACAGTTTTGCATAAACTAACGTTTGAGTTTGCATCCGTGTTTGTGCACCGAACACAAGCCAAACTTAACACGACTGATTCGTTTGCCTCGCAGAGACCGACCTTGGTTCAGCGACCAGGAGGAGTCGGCGCACCGTCGCTGACCCAGAGACGATTCAGCGGTGCATTTGGTCACCTGGATGGTGACCGAAGGTAACACCCAGGTGAGCAGAATCAGCTCTCTGGGTCTTGCTTGCATAATGAAGCCGAAACACAGAAAGAACCAAAAGGGGAAATAAAGTAAACAGAGGACTAATTCCAAAAACAATTAAGCTAAGAAACCCTATTTTGTATAAATATTATTTTTGCATTAAAGACGTGTTTGTTAATTTATTCACGTCCTTTTTAACCAATGGCCGTTGTGGTCCTCCACATCCAGCAGCGCTGGAAGTTTGAATTCTGCGTTTCCAATCATTCGTCTGAAATCCACCACGGGCTCTGAAAGCGTCCGAGCCGTGCGTTTGCGAGGAGGGCGAGGAGGAGCACGTGAGCAGAGGTGGGTGCAGGGAAACGGGTGGCCAGAGCAATACATTACACCACATCTGCAAATCCGCTTTATTAGGATAAACAATACAGAACACCATAATCATATCACTGAAGACTTGCAATCATAAATTCATGCACTTGTATGCCGTAAATTGAATGGACTTGTTGTTTTTAACGTCTCGATTTTGTCAAACTGCTACAATATATTGCTCTGGTGGTAAACAACTGAGCAAGCAAGCTAGCTTAGCAACACCATTAGCAACAGGAACGGCAATACTGCACACGGAAAAGTGGAAAATAAAAACAGCAGAACAGCGCCAGTGGAAAAAAATGACTTTTTTTTGTCTTGTTTTAATCGTTAAAATTATGACCATTGAATGCATAACCATGCCACAAACAACAACTAGAGTCACTGTCTTTTTTATGTAGTATAAGATTATCTTCATTATTATGAATTCATTCGTTTTCATCATTGTTATTTCTTCAGGTTATAACCAATGCTGCAAGACTATACACGGGTCCCACAGTGGGGATCTCAATGCACTTACACACCAAGAATAAGAGAGAGAGCTCACGATGGTCAATAAGTGCACAAAAAACTATTTTTTCTTTTATCTGAGGTTAAAAACACTGACAAGACATCCATTGTCAGGCAATGAAATGATAGAATACTGTTACTGTAAAACTAGACCCTTAAAAATACTGACCGTGTGCAGCCGGGACACACCTGAACAGGACGCGAGTCCGGCGGAGGCGCCCCTCGATGACGCCGCGGTGCTTTTTGTACTTTGGTCAGCTGCAGTTACACGAAGCAGCGAGCACGGCTTGAGACGCTAACTGCTCTTTATGTCTGCTGTAAACGCAGACGCTCCCAACACGTCCTGATTGGATGGCGTCCCGTGAATGCTTCAGCCAATCAGCATCTGTGCTGTCTAACATCAAAGCTTTTATCTGAGTTTAAACCAATCAGCTTGCACACATTTTTTTAAATAAGTGAAATTAGTTTTTTAGCATTAAGTTATAAGCAGTGTTGCCAACTTAGCGAATTTGTCGCTATGTTTAGCGAGTTTTCAGCGACTTTTTTTCTAAAAAGCGACTAGCGACAAATCTGGCGACTTTTTCTGGTGTTATTGGAGACTTATTTATGACGACTTTTTGACGTGAAAGCGCGTATCGCTCTTACTCTCAACAAGCAGCGGTGCTGCCGTGGGCACCTCACCCGTGCCAAAGCGCTCACGGGTGGAGGACAGTCCTCCTCAGCTGCTATCAGGGCAGGAGACGTTCACACCTGTGCGTCCAAACGGCAAATGAATCGTGCATGAGCGAAGCCGCTGCTCCGCACTGACTGTAAGGCAGTCAGTTCTTTTACTCTTATGCTGTTTTGTGGATCACAAGGTTTAAAACTACTTATAAACACACACAGACAGTAACTCCACCAGAGCGCCAATTTCGGGTCACTTTTGCCAGTCCAAGCCCGGGTAAAGGAGCAGGGTTGGAATTGTGACATTAAAAAACAATAATTGCTAAAATAAATTTAATTTGTAGTTCTAAATAAACTCTAAATGCATTTAGGACGTTTTTACTCACTTTATGTCTCTTCCACGATGTTATTTCTCTCTCCAACAACATAGGTTACAATTAGATTAGCATGACCTATTATGCAAATTGGACGATGACGTCATTTGTCAACTTCTAGCGACTTTTGGGACAGCCAATAGCGATTTTCCTTACTGAGGAGTTGGCAACACTGGTTATAAGGTCATTAAAGTATTTAAAACACACGAGCAGGACGTCGAGCCACAAAGCTGGCGGCAAACAACGTTTTCCACGTGCTGATTGGCTGAGGCATATGGCGACCCAAAATAACTGTTTAGAGAGTCACAACAAATCAGGATGACCAACGTGTGAAGCCAGCGAATCTGGACTTTGGTCGTCGTGGTTATTGGAGCCGAGGCGCCGGTTTAAACCTTTTACTGCGGCTCGGGAGCGTCGAGGTGTAAGTGCAGCTGTGCGCGGGGAGCAGAGGATCAGGACATTGGGACTGAACCGCCGCCCCCTCCGGACTCTGTAACCCATAGGAAATCCTCCTCCCGGCTGCTCACCTCGACTGTTTCACATATATGTATATCTTTATACAGAGTTAACGTGGGTGCAGCGCTTTAGCACCGCCCACACGCGAAAGGAAAAGAGAAAAAAAACACATTTCTTTTTTCTAATTAAATGATTTCACATTTAAAAAGTTTCAAAGATTAAAAGTTGATAATAAAATAGTGAAATGTCATCGTGAAAAGTAAAGAGTTATGGCTCAGAGTGATGGCGGTGGTGGAGTGTGTGTGTGTGTGTGTGTGTGTGTGTGTGTGTGTGTGTGTGTGTGTGTGTGTGCCAGTAGTCTCATCAAATCAAACCATCATGTCATCATCTTCATCTCGCTCTCAGTCGTCTCTACTGGCAGATAGAGAGTCATCACCATCCTCGCCTGCACGCTTCTTCTTCTCTTGCTGAACACAGAACAAAGACCGAACAGCGTTTGGACCTGAGCCCACTGCGTTAGAAGGACGTCGAGCTTATTAAATGTGTTGACTGCATTTTTATCTGCTGATAAAACCTCGCGTGGTGAACTGCGACTGTGGAGAACTGGGAAGCTCCGCTGGTCCAGAATAACCCAGCAACCCGAGGAGAGCGTTACAGGACACGAGAGCAGCCGGCAACCACAGTCCAGCAGCTCAGCCCTGAACCATTAGCTTATTCGCTGGAATGTCGTTCCTCTTCCTCCGCCCTACAATCTGCTTCAGACACCACCACCTCCACCACCGCCAACACACAAACACTACCCAGAATTCCTGCCGATCTTCTGCCGCCGTCAGCCTGCGGTTGGTGTCGCTGATTTTTCTGACTCAACTTACAAATAACGTTTTGGTCGCATCAGGGCGTCGCCAAAGAACGCAAAACAGGAAGCATGAGAACAACGAATCCCTCGAGATGACTGGTGTATACGCTTGTGTGTGTGTGTGTGTGCAGAATCGCTGAAATACTGAATCATCACCTGGTAATGTTACAGCCCCCCCCGTTTAAATACCCCGGTGCTAAAATCACACAGAAAGAATCCGAATAAAAATGTGGCAAAATCCCTGAAAAGTGAGAAAACGTTACGTAACAGACGGATGAGATGATGACTAAAAGACTTTGTGCTGCTAAGATGTGCTGTTTCTCAGGACGAATCACAAGTTTTTACAATCAGGGGACGAAGAGGGGGGGAGGAGGGAGCCCCGTTTCACTAGCTGCACCCCCGCTGCCACCGTGCGTGCTGTCAGCCTCAGAATAAAAAGAAGAATACGATACGCAGAAATAGAGACGCATTGAGAGAATTTGGTCGTGTTCGTGACATCGATTCTTCTGCGATCATCGGCGCTCCGCAATTAACGGGTAAAATCTCTCCTGCAGGTTGTCGTGATCGGCCCGTGGTTATGGTTGAAAACAATATAACCGAAGCTCGAGCTCAACGCTAACCTCAGGCGGGTCTCCGACCATCTGCTGGATGTTAACCAATCCAGTGCTTTTGTTTCCAAAACCCCGCCCCACCCCCCACCGCCGCAAACGACCACACGAGAAACTACGAAACAACTAATGAAACTGGGCTCAATGTGAAGAGGTCAGAGGTCAGGGAGGGAGAAAGGAGGGGGTGGGGGGAGTTGGCAAAGCTACCCATTTGTACCCGGGAGGCACAAATTTCAATCAGGGACCTTATTTCTCTGTGACACCATCATCATAGCGTGGCGAACGACACAACACAGCATGACACCACCAAACACCGACCATTCAGTCACATCTACATGTCTCCGTGTGTGTGTGTGTGTGTGTGTGTGTGTGTGTGTGTGTGTGTTGCCGATGAGCTCACGGACGCCGTCCTCATGCGTCTGCTGTAGATCGTTGCTGTTTGGAGTCTTTAGGCGATCAGATTGAAATAATTCTCCTTCTTTGGGTTCGTCCGCGGTGATTTTTGGCATTTCCTCGTTACGCTGGTTTGTGTTATGCAGTGAGAACTTTTGTTTGTGCAGCATTTTACTCTGAAAGGCCTGAAAACTCACACCATCACATTCAGAAACCTTCAGACTAAAATGTCTGACCGCTTTATGTTCGGTGAATCTGGACGATTTATCGTGTTAAACTTGGAGCAGACCAGCAATGATCAGAGCTGAGGATGAGGAGGGCGTCGGTGATCTCATGGGTTTCTTATCCTCTAATTTCTGCCTACTCGTGTCTGTAAATTTGTTTGAATGAATCTTTTTCACCCGTGTGTGCGTGTGTGTCTGACAGGTAAGTGTGTGTGTGTCGTTCCTCGTGGCGGCGTGTTTATGTGTAGGCATTGAGGCGTTCTTTGGAGCGTGTAGAGTGGATGTCGTGCAGCTCCTGCTCCTCCTTCGACTTGATGTCCTCGTACTTCTGCATCCGACTGGCGTCCTTCAGGTAGCCCCAGTTAGCGGCTAGAGCCATCAGGAAGTGCACCTGAGGGGAAACGCAGGAGACTGATCAAACATCACCGACTCGTCCGCTGCACGCTGACGCTGCAGACAGATTGAGCGGCTTATCTGGGATCAGCTGGTTTGGACTGTTCCTACACCATCACATCAGTGCTGCAGGAAAAGGAGGGGGAGGCCAGATGAGGGGGTCACATGTCGCCTTTAAAGGCAGAAGGAGGACAGGATGTGTTTACCTTGTTTCTGCCACTCAGGGCTAAAAACAGCAGCTGTATGTTTTTAACAGGTTTACTTGAATTTAATAGAGGAAGTGCACATGTAGTCACCTTCCTGGAGCAAACACAGGTACAGCCCTGAACACGGGTCGAGTCTAATGCCGTTAATCCCACACTGTGCACACGAGCCGCTCCCTCTGGCGGCCCCTAGTGTTAAAGCACGGCGCAGTAACTCACTGCTGTTGCTGTGCCGTGTGTGTGATATACTCTTCATTTTAGCATTTTAGCATTCACATGCAGCACCACGCGGTTTCATCCCCTTCAGTAAGTTGACAAATGAAACGTCCCTCACGCTGCTTCCTGCCGCACAACAGATTTGTGTGTGTGGACTAGTGCCGGTGCTTTGGTTCTTGTACAGATCTGCGCACGGGAAAGATCGGAGATTATTCAGAAAGGCTCAGGTTTGTGAATGTGTGCTTGGAGCGAGGATGGAAGGACGTGAGCGTCTCCACGCCTCGGATCTGGAGACGCCGGTGACTCACCGCCTGTCTCACTGCAGACGTGCAGGACTGGATTTTACACTCTGACTCTTTTGTCTCCCTGTCTGCAGGGACGATGTCTGTTTCCTTCGTTTGCACCAATCATTAAAAACCATAATGGCAGAACAAATTATAACCAATCAGATATGAGAATGATGGTTCTTACCATGGCGATGACAGCAGCTCCTGCTCCTGCTAGTGCGCACACGAACAGGTGGAAGGTCAAGTCCAGCTGCAACACAACATACGCATGATGCGGTGGATTTGTGCTGACGGGTTATCACGTGTACGTGTTTTTGCTGCGTTCTCACCTCGTTGGATTCGCACATCTTGACGAACTTCTCGGACTGCGTGCACAACTTCCTCTCCTCGGAGATGGTCACCGCTCCTGAGAAGCACAAACGCTCTGTTAGCCTCTCCTCGTCCTCTGTGGTTGATGAAGGAACCGGGGAATCTCTGCCTATCGCAGCGCTCGGACGGTCCCTGCGTTTCTTTAATTAAAGCTGACCAAGATCAATGCTTCCCCGCTCCTGGACTGTCGGCCGCTGGGAACGGCCTTGAAGTAATCACAGTCCAGAGCGCAGCGCCTCATGAACCAGGAGTTCATCTTTAATGTTTTTCCTCCTGAGAAATCTTCATTAGTTTGCTGACTGAGGCCTGCTGCAGTCTAAATGTTGAACAGCAGATGGCAGCGCAGTGAGCGAGCGCACACAAGGCCTCTGGTGGTGCCTTTTGTTTTAATGTAGGCATCCTGAGAACAACATGGTGGGCAGTGCTGCATCGTGCACACAGTAATGTGCAGCATCCACCAGCTGAAGTCTGTCTGTGTGAACATTTAAGGAGGTTTTGAGCTAAGTCGTGCTAACATGCTGTTTGGAAAGACAGGTGATGATAATCAGGCAGAAAAATAATCTGCATAAAGAACCCAGACAGCTGGCACCTCTGGGCCTAACCGGGCCAACTTCTGGCACCTTACATGCCGAATGACATCTGACATTGTACTGATTTAAGGTGGAGCCGTGGCTCCTGAGTGAATGCAGGCAGCGACACCCAGAGACAAACATGTCCCGTTACTGCTTCCTGACATTTCTGTGATCTGTTCTCAGGATGTCTGAAGAGAGCCAGACCGCCGTCGCTGCTGTTATTCAGTCACACCCACATTTCACACAGGCTCAGCTGTCTAACCCCTCAAACACATGTTCAGGACTTCATCAAACACCAGAAACACCGACCGACAGGCCGAGCTCGGACGTTTTCTGTCATTAATGAATTTGCAGATATTTCAGATCAATGTTTTTCCTCTCGAGCATCCGATTCTCGGATGTCGTTGCAGCGCCTGGAAGGCTTTGCAGCTTTCTGCTGGTATTTGGCACTTCTTCTGCACACACACAGGTTTTTCCATGATATGTGCCAGTTTGGTGTTTTGGTGAGTCACCATTAACCTGCCTGCTCTAAGCAGCGATCGGGTGATCCAGGATCTTACTTTTAATCACAGAACAAAGAACAGGCTGAGTTAAAAATCTGAACAGCAGCGTATGAAGAAGATTTCCAGTCTGCTAAATCCAACAAAGTGAAGGAAAAGATGTTCCACACATAAATTAGAGGTGCACGGATCAATGGGAGGGGCCGGTCTGAGCTCGGAGCAGCAGCACGGAGAAATTACAGTCATTTGTTTAAAGGCAGCTGAGCTCATCAAGCTGAACTCGTCAGTCTTCCTGTTTACAGCATCTCACATAAACTGCATCAAACTGGGAAAACCAGTCCTCCTTGTTTACCTCAAACTCAGAAAATGCGTTGTGCAAAGCCTGCAGAGGTCTAACCACAAAGAAACGAAATTCTTTTGTAAGTTAGAAATATAGCTGTTCATGATTGGAAGTTCATTTAACATCAGGGTGCAAAGAGCAAAGGGTCCAAAGTCTGCGTACCAAACTGACGCAGGTCCAGGCAGAGGTTGGTTCCCTCCACCGAGCTGGTGTTCTGACACATGGACCAAACGTTGAAGTACATGAAGACCGGCAGGCTGGTGAATGCTGTCACCCCGAGCCACACCAGGAAGAACAGGTAGGCCAGGAACATCAGCTGCAAACACAGGCACACGTTAGTCTCGCACTGCTGTGCATCGCGTTCAGCAGAGCTCACAAAAGTCTTTATTCAGGTTGGACTAAAAAAAGTGCAAAATGCACATTCGTCTTCATCAGCCGCAGAGCTGAGTGGCTGCACTGACGCATGCACGCCACTCTAATATCTGTCACAGTTTCCAGATGTAGCTGACTAGAGGAATACAAACCTCAGAAACCAACAGTACTTTTGTGATGAACATGATGAACATGACTGTGCTGTTTACTGCAAACATTTATTTGCAGGAAACGTTAAAGTGCCACAACGACATCACTTAAGTTATAAGTTATAAAGTTTGTGCAAATAAGTGTTTGATCCAGATAAAAGCAACTGTAGATGTTTAAAAAGGGCCGTAATCACTGTGTGTGTGTCTGTGTGTATGTATGTGTGTGTGTGTGCGTGCGTGCATGCGTGTGTGTGTGTCTGTGTGTATGTATGTGTGTGTGTGTGCGTGCGTGCGTGCATGCGTGTGTGTGTGTGTGTCTGTGTGTATGTATGTGTGTGTGTGTGCGTGCGTGTGTGTGTAAAACAACTTTAATGTCAATAATGGTCAATATGAATCATACTACTCTGCACATCCAAGTAAATATCAGTGATGCTGACCTTTTGCGGTCATTTATGGTCATGTGACATCAAGCTAATTATTGGCCCTCATTAGCAAAGTGGAGTTTGTATAAAATAGGAAAGGGTCACCACGTCTATCCTTCCAGCAGCTTCTTTGTTTAAATTAACACTAACTTAAACACAAATATGTCTTGACGAGTTTTAGAAGTTTTGACTCACGAATGCAGTAAGGCAGCGTCCGCAGGCAGTGATCTTGAACTCTCCGTAGAGATCGCGGATGGCTCCGGTGGTGAAAAAGCCCTCCACCAGCAGCAGCACTCCAAACACAAAGAATCCAGCTGCAAGGCCATAAATTATGTACTTCAGGATGTCGATGCTGCGGAGAGGACACACATCACAGCGTCGCTAATTAATGACTGCTTATTTATTTTCATGCTTCGAGTGCTCTTCAGACTTCTTCAGCTAAATCACCACGAGGAACTGCCAGAAACCAGAGAATCATGGAGGATTTATTCACATTAAAAATGTAAGTGGTGTAAATGTAGCCATTCCTAATTTTATCTTTATTTTCTCGTGTGTCTGTTTACATTTTTTTTTTAAAAAAACATTGAAGAGCCAAAAACTGCAGTTCCAGTAGTGTCCACTAGAAGCTCCAGCAGTGAGTCGGTCTCTACACTGTTAAAAGGTTACAGCAGAAATAATCATGTTTACAGACGGCATGACTGCATGCACGGTTAGGGGCGTGGTCTCTTTGATTGACAGGTGGATGGCAACGATGATGTGAATGAAACACTTTTAATAATAATGAAGCAACAGGCTAGCCCAGAGGCTACGAGCTAGCTCAAAGGCTGCAGGTTGGAGACCACGTAATAAAGGAAGAGGTGCGGGTTCCCGGGCCTGGAGGGGCGGGGTAAGAAACTAGAACAAACAACTGTGTGGGCCAACAAGGGATTTATAGCTGTATAGCAGGAAGGGGCGTGGCCTGAACTTGAGACAAACTGTGCCCAATAATACAGTTTCTTGTGCTGTAAATAGCCTACGCTCCATTTCTGGTGAGTGAAGTTTTAGAATTTTATTTTGGATATTACTAGCGATGGGATGTCTGTGAAGGTTCTCAGTCCTCCAGGTCATCGTAGTCAAAGGAGCTTGCAAAGGAAAGCATCTGGACTTCTTTAAGTTGCTTGAAGACGTTTCACCTCTCATCCGAGAAGCTTCTTCAGTTCTAAGGTCAAATGGTGGAGAGTCCCAGATTTAAACCTAGTGGGAGTTTCCCCCCACAGAGGGACAAAAGGACCCCCTGATGATCCTCTAATCGCCTGAGCCAAGGTGTGAAAATGGGTGTGGGTCCCAATCAGCCAGAGTTTCGGGTGTGTTCATTGTGAAACCTGGCCCCACCTTATCATGCGAATTCCTGAGGTCAGATGGCCCAGGATGTGAGTGGGCGTTCAGGCGTCTGGGGAGGGATCTCAAAACTGGATTATAGATGGCAGAGAGTTGGTGTCGTAAACCCCGCCTCTGTTCAAAGATGGTCGCTCACAGTGGACATAGATGCTTCTTTCACTCCTCTTTCAAACCATCTGTCCTCTCTGTCCAAAATGTGAACATTGGCATCCTCGAAAGAGCAAGCTCCTTTGACTATCGATGGGATGCACCAATTAGGACCCATTATCAATTAGAAAAAAAGAGAAAACACTGAAACCAATGGCTGCGTTCATCTTTTATATACAGGCTATGCACTTCAGTTGACTTCAGCTCGTTCTGTTTGGGGTTTGTGATTATTAAGAGTGATTATTAATACTCCGTACAGAGCAAAGATGAAACACTTACATGGTGAACACATCCAGAGTGTCTCCCGGGGCTCTAATGACTTCAAAGTAGTTCTGGAGGATGGTGACGGTGCCGCTCAAAGCCTCGTGGCCACACCCACAGAACAAGGCCACGCCCATGTAGAGGAGGATGGTGGCGATGAGCGACGCCCAGGGCAGGCTGCCCACACATCGCTCGCAGCACTCCTTACAGCCTGAGACAGAGACAGAAACCGTGAGTCTGACTGCAGTTCGACAAATTCTATATGACGATGATGAAAGCAAAGGAGAAGACACGGGGCGGGGTTATGAGGAACGATGGTAAATTCAAGTTTTTTTACTGAGTTTGAATGAGTCACTCACCAAAATGGGTTTTTGTTTGAGTCACTGAGTCAGTTGACCAGAGAGTGCAAAAAATTTACATTTTCATTCAAACTTAATTTGTTTCTATTTTCATGTAAATCCTACTGCTAAGATGAGTGATTGAAAAAGAAAAACAACTATTTTTATAGCGCAAAAAAGAGCAAAAAAAAAAATTAAGATTCTTAAAGGGAACATTTATTTTATTAGTATTTTCCTCAAATGTGTGGTGAATGAGTGGTCACGTCCAAATTCATGGTCTGCATCCTCATGAGGACGCGTTTGTAGGCCGATTACGTCACAGTGATGTGACGAAGGCTGTCCAAATTCGTAGACTCCTCCGAATGCGGCCAACAAATTCCCCAGATTTGAAGGATGGGTCGGGTGTGTCCTTCGTGGCTGATTAAACAGAAGTGTGAGACAATCCAGAATTTACGCCAATGTTCTTTTATATTTTAGATAGCAAGGAGCAGACGGCTGAGTTTATTAAACTCCACCGAGACAGCGGTGACGCAAATCTGAAGGCTAGACCGTCCAATTCCATAGCCGTTTACTTCCGGCCTACCCGACCTTCTGAGGACCCGGCCCACCTAGACCGCGAAGGACGGGTCCTCAGGAGGATGCAGCCCATGAATTTGGACATGACTAGTGAGTGAGTGAGTGATTCGTTCATGCTACGATTCAGCACAGGAAGGGGGGTGAGTAACTCAAATGTGCTGTTAGCATGTTAGCAGAGCGATGCTACTGTGAATTGAGGAGCTAACCGGTTTTTGGGCCTTTCTCAATGTGCGTACTTGTGCGTACTTGCGTTGTCGTGTACTCGTGATACGTCATCAGTCGGAGACCAAGTACTGCTCCAATTCGAAGTACGCATCAAGCCGAGAACGCAAAAAAGTCCCGGATGTGTTCTCGCTCCGCCCGTTTTATTGAGCATGCATTGGTGGTGACTTGTGTGGACTTGGTACAGCTAAATATCCCAGAATGCATTTCGTCCAAAACTCAAACGCAGCAATGGCGGACGAGCGGGGCTAAAAACTTTTAAATATTACTCTTTCTGGGTCACAAAATAAACTTTTAAGTTATTTTCAAGCGAGAATGTAGCTGTGTAAACTTCAAATATCTGCTCGATTTATCAAGATGTCATATATTTCCAAATGCACTCCGACGTTTTCGGAGACGTCTGTGACCCGCCAGCTCCATAGCAGACAGCGAGGTCGAGGATCATTAGAGCCGGCGAGAACAGCGGACTCCCGGCACATTGTTTCCAACCCCCCCGCGGTCTTTTCGCTACTCAGGTTAAACAAACCCCAAACCCCAGCAGCTGTCTATTGTATTGAGTGTCCACTAAAATAAAAATAAAAGCGTTCTAACATCTCATCTGCTTGTTTTTATTAAGGTATGTACACGTATGTACATGTACACTATTTTTATTAATAGGTTAAACATGATATATAAGTCGCTTAGATCACTTCTAAATGTTAATGTTTGGTTTATTTCAGTGTTTTATTTGTTCCTGAGTAAACCGGTTTGGCTGTGATTAAAGTTAAGCTTCATAACATATTACTCACAGTTAAATTAAGAGGGGACGGCAGTAAAAACTCCGGACCTGTGACATCATCAAGTACGCTGGTGTTCCAATTGTACAAATCGCGAGTCCGTACTCGCGTGCGTTCTCGGTGAGTACGGACTCGCGTACTTGAGAATTGAGAAAGGGCCTTTAAGTCTGACGTCATTAGCCGCGTCCGGGTTCTAAACTCCGCTGCAGGTCCCTAAGTCAGACGATCACTGCAGCATTACTGAGAGTTGAAAAACTGTCTAAATTCTTTCATCTGTAATAAAATGATCAGTGTTGCTGCTTTACCAGGTGTAACGATTAAGTTTAACATCCAGGCATCCATGAAAACAGAATTTATTAAATTTAATGGAGTTAGAAGTTAGCAGGAAGTTAGCGGAAGTTAGATCACTAGTTTCGCTAGTTAGCTAAGCATGATATAGCATGTTCTGACTGAGAGATTTATGAAAAAATTCAAACGTACAGCTCTGCTATCACTTCCAACATAAATGAAGACAGGAAACTAAACAGCAGTGATGTTTGTAGGGTTACTGAAGTTGGGCTAGCTGCTATATAATGATGTGCTACGTGATCGCTAGCGACACAGCTATGTTAGCATAACATTAGCACAGTGAAGCTGGAGGATGAACGCTAACTTCTTTCCACTTGATAAAGTTAACGTGAGGGTTCCTGATGGTTAGAGACAAATGCAATCGCATGGCAGGATGTAGTTGCATCGGAATCTTTAAAAACTGAGCTTTAAAATGATTAGCAGTAATAAAAACCGAGAGAGGCCGACATTGATCACTGACTGTTTTTATGGGCTTGTTGAGATGAAATAGAACAAGTTACAAAGCATTAAAACATGTTTAAAGCACAATAGCCCTATGAAACGCAAGGTAGTTTGGGCCCTGAAGCAGGATTCAGCATGTCATCACTTAAAGACCGGATTGTCTTGATGTGAGCTTCTACTCAGGGTTTTTTCTTCCAGTTCAGAACAGAAATGTTTCTGTTAAGAAACTGGCTGTTGTTCCCCCCCACACACACAATTTTAATTATAAGCTAGATATATTTCTACTAATGAAATTAGTTTGCTAACAGCAACAGGAATGAGTCAGTTGGGCTTGTGAATCATGATTCACGAGTCAGTAAAGTGATTCTCGAGTACTGAACGATTCGTTCATGATTCGCACATCACTAGTTATCAGCACACAGACGGCGGTAAAACGAGCATGTGCACCGCCGGGTTGGTCATTACATGGAGCAGCACGTGCAAAGTCACAACATAAAGTTTTACATTTGAGTGCAGAAACCAAAACTCCCAGTTTGCTCCGTGAATGTTGGCCTACAGGAAATAATGCGGATGCAATAACTTTCATTTGACGTTCCTAAAAAATGACTCCTTTAAATACCGAAGAGCAAAAATGAAAATTTTAAAAGCTCGTGAAGAAGAGAAAACCGAGCAGAGATCAATGTAGCGACGGCCGCGGCTCTTCCTCCTCCGAGAGCAGGAGATGAAACGTGATGCCTAAATGCCTCCTGAAGGGTTTTATTAGCTGTGAGTGTTTTAATGACCAGTTTGATGTAGCTTTAAATGATCCGGTTGATTAGCAGCTCTTACCTCCTCATGGACAATAAGCCTCATCGACAGACAAACAATGTGTCACGCAGTCAGTTAAACTGACACAATGCAAGAGCAGCTGCACATATAAACTGACATTCACTTGGCTTCTTCCCCACAATCAGCTGAATTCAATGCAATACATTTTAAATATTGGCTCAAAATAACCTTCCTACAACACAGGAGCAGACAGAGAGCTCCATTCATAAAGGAAATGCTCCCTTATTAAAAAACTGGATTAAATCTGAGCTAATTATACTTTTTCCTGTGAAAACGTCCTGAAGTACATTTATTTCAGTACTAACGGCACCACAAACATTCTCACTCCTGGTGTGAGGATTTTAAACACACATGACTTTCTTGGTCTCCTATTGGACCTTTGGTTGGTTTCTTTGGGGAATCGTAGGTTATTCTTCAGTGAACTTTGCAATGAAAGCATGCAAAGTGAAGGTTGTAACCTCTTTGTGAATCATTTGGTCTTAGCAGCACAAATGCCTAACTTATATATTGTATTTGAGGAAAACAAGACTGGAGCACCTTAACCCGCTCCTCCTCGTCCTCGTCCATGCTAACACTCCTGCTGAGTCTTTTGCAGTGAGAGGTTACTTCTGATCACTCTGCCTGTTGTCCAGAGCCATTCTCCTGTGCTTGGAATGATTAAGTAGAGCTCTCCACCTGCCACATTATGTAATTGTGCAGTAGCTGCGAATGATGCACCAACAATTCGGCTATTTTCAAATGACTCATTTGTGTGGCTGCCAGATAAACAGTGATCTTTCCTCTCTGAGAAGCTTTTCAGTGCAGAAATAATGGCAGTAACGCAACGACGGGAGGCAGCAGAACAACATCTTTCCCTGCTGGACTTCTTCCACCGTTTAACGCAAACATCTACATTTCCTCCCTGGTGTAGTTTAGCTCATCTGTCTTGCACACATGTAGAAGCAGGAGAGGAGTATTCGAGTACACGATGACTCACTGGGTTGTTGTCAGTGGTGACACTACAGCTGATGGGTGAAATCACTGTAGACGTGTTTTATGCTGCAGATCGCTTAAAGCTCGTCAGCACAGGAGGTGCAGCATAAGCAGCTCATTAGCAGGAGGTGTTCGGGCTCAGTAATCAGGATCCAGTGTTCAGTTCTGTCTTTCAGGAGCGACCCACGATCACATGATCACAGCAGGGGGACAGATTAAAAGCCAGTGATGGCTGCTTTATGTGCACAGAGAAGAGAAGCCACTTCAGGAACTTCAAAATAAAATAATAATGCAAATAAATACATAAATAAAATATAATTTCAGATTAAAACCAGTTTGTTTGAGATCAGATTTCAGATTGTAATGTAGACACACATTTAAAGGTTCTACAAAATGTTTCCAGGGTGGAACCAATGTTCAATCTGTTGTTTAGGATTGACGATATTTTCAGTTACATGCCACAGTCAGTAGAGGGCAGCATTTCCCTTTCCCAGTGGGTGGCAGTTTTCCCAGTGTGTGGGTGAAGAGGGGGTACGGCAAGGTGTGTTTTTATTAACCCCTTCAAGTTAATGCGATCAATGAGATGCGCAATTTGTGCTTTATGTGTTGGTGTGGAAACAAGATGTTTATTTGTGACAGAGCTGTCGAGTGTTGGTCAGTGCAGTGCAGAATGTGTCGACATTTTGTACGGTCTCGCAGCATAGTTGGCG